ATTTAGTGCAAACAAATCCCGACTTGGATCTGACCCATGCCTATGATTGCCCATGTAGCTGTATCACAGAAGGGTGCACTGAGTTTGCGTACCATGATGGCCCATCAAATGAGAACAAACTCCTGCAAGGATTGCTGCTCAGGAAAGTACCACTGGGGTCACAATGTTCGTCATGTTTGGAATTGTTGGCCGGGGTATATCACGAAATTTGGATCGGGATAAATATCTAGCTATATCTAGCTGTGTTTTCTCTTGCATTCAACTAACTGCGTTTTTTCTTGCAACTCAAATCACTGCACAGTCTGCACGCGAGGAATACAAAGGCATTTGAGCGGTTGCCGAAACCCCGATGCTTTGTGTTCTATTCTGTCTTCCCTTTAGCCATCTCTTTCGCGAACCTTTCGCAATGTGGCGTTTTTCTTTCGCGGCATCCACGTGTCTGAAATACACTTTCGCGAGCTTTCGCGGAAAATCCTGAAAAGAACCTATGTTTCCTGGCAAACACATACTGAAACATTTGTTCCCCGCCTGCCATGTGAACGTCTCAAAATTTTATCAGAGCTGCATGCCGCCCATCGCCTCTTCCTCCTCCTCCTCCTCCTTCACCTCCTCGTCCTCCGCTCCACCCTCAACCACGAGCTCCAGATCTCAGTGGGCACTGCCGAGCCTCAACCGCGAGCGCCAGATTTCAGTGGGCACTGCCGGACCCCAAGCGACCGCCAGATCTCAGTGGGTACAGCCAGACACCGCGAGCGCCAGATCACAGTGGGCACTGCCACTCTCTATCGAATGGGGGGGGAGGCCACTCTCAATTTTTCTGAGAAAATCCATGCATCGTTGATTGCCAATGCAACTTGGAAATGTGTGCAGCACGACTGCCAAGCTCCATGTGGCAACGCTGAAAAATCAGTGTCCTGACTTCGCCAAGGACTGCTGAACCCATACTGATTGCAGATGATGCCCATCCTGAAGTGAAGACACTATAGACGCAGCGCACATGTATGGGTTTGTCTGGAAAATGGTACCCCAAAATCCCATGGTTTATCATATTTTGTCCCATTCAACTGATCATTATTTAAGGTTTTATCATCATTTTCGCTCGTCAAAATTGCCATTGGGGTTTCACCAATTTTTGGGCAAACGCAATTTTGCCTTTTTTGGCTGAAGCATGCTAAAGCAACAATGAGGCCCTGGCTCTGAGCGGCTTCCACAAACTGATCCAATGCGTCCTGGTGCTCCAAAAATAAGTTTGTATGAGAATAAGGTACCCCGAACTCACATTGTTTATATTTGTTTATCATCATTTTCTCTATCAAAATGCCATAGAAATATCATAAAATATCGCCCATTTTGGAGAACCCCCCATGAAATTGCCGCAGGTGCAGGGGTGTCCTCTGGTGTCTGTTCTTGCGGCAAATGGCTCAAATGGCCCTGTCGGGGAAGCCTCGGCTGCTGGTGGGCACAACTGAAGCGCTTCAGCAAAGTGCTCCGGGATGCGGACGGCACGTCCCCAACTTGTCGACAAAAAGGGCAATGCCTCAGGCCAAGCTCAGTGGCATGGGCAGAAAAAAAAACAAACGGCCTTAATGATGGAAGGCAAACAATACACAGGTATATGATGGTATATAAATGTATATGATATAATTAATAGTAGTTGATATATATTGATATCTAATAAATAACATTTATAAATGTACTTGAAATCAACAAGGCCATTGCTGAGGAAAGGACAGCAAGCCATCCTCCACTCGGGCCACCAAGACGGCAACACAATGCCTTACACAGAAACCCTGCAGGTTCCTAAGGATTTGAAGGCTCCTGGGAAGACATGGGAAGACCATTGCTGAGGATCTTTCCACAATGGTTGGCTGGTTTGGTATCGTTTAAGATCGTTTAAGTTGAATCTTTGCAGAGGCTGAGTTCTACACGCACAAATGGACTTGAAGCAGCAGCTGGTGACCTGAAAAACATCATGCCCCGTTCGCATCATTTTCTAAAATGGTTAAAGTATGACACCTGCATTGAATCCCACGACACCTGGTACAGTGATATTTTATTGAATGATATTGATATGTACCAGTGATGACATTGCGTTCTCTGGACCAGGTCCATTACAAAAAAAAATAGTGTACCATTTTCTTTGCTAATCTTTTACAACCGTTCTGTATGGAGAGCTGTGCCTTTCGGACACCTCAGTGCCGCACTGTTGGCTCTGCACCCACACGGAAGTCACAGGCACAGATTGGGCATTCACCTCAAACTGCGCACCAGCAAGTTGCCCACTCTGTTCCATATTGCACTAAGGAAAGCAAACCTGAAACCACAACCATGGTTCCCAATGGTTCCCAATCATTCCCAAACAATTCCATACCATTCAGCAATTCTTCGCACCATCAACAGTATCAATAGTATCAGGTGTCGTCTTGTTTTCTGAAGCTTAACCCAAGACGTTCAGCCCGCCGGATCTTAGCTGCATTCCTGGCAATTGCTGCGGGCAAACTGTCTGATTTCCTCTGATTTCCATAGGAGTTCCTGAAATAAATTAAACATATTGGACAAATCATCAAATGAAATCTCATCCTCTGAGTCGCGAGTAACATGTGAGAAAACCCTCCAAGTCACTCAGCAAATTTTGCTTTCAAATTCGCCGGCTGCACGAATTCCAGCCCACGCAGTCTGGCCGACAAGCCTGGCTAGGGTGGTCAAAAACATGGTTTACATGGTTTTACAACCATATACCGACATGCAAAACCATCCAACCAACACCTAACCAACATCAGCCACTGAGTTCCCGCCTCAAGGGCGTCCAACGTGTTGCACCTGGGCTGAACCGCCAGAATCGACCCACTTTTCCTGCGGGGTCACTGTGGTCTATGGATTCTCAACATCTCCCAAATGTCAAATCAAACTGAAACAAATTCAAACCATGAATTCATACGGTATGATTTGTATACATGATATTAAATCATATCATATCATACATATTATATATTATATATTATATATTATATATTATATATTATATATTATATATTATATATTATATATTATATATTATATATTATATTATATTATATTATATTATATTATTGTATATTATATAATATATTATATTTTAAAAAAAAGAAAAACATATTAAATATGAAAACAATATTACATATTATATATATAACATATATTATATATTATGCATTAAATACTAGATACAAAAATATGAATATCAAATATTACATATTGTATATTAATAATTACATATTGTATATTATATGTAATATATTACATGTTAAATAAAATATATTATATATTGTATATAAAATATGATATGAAATGATATTATGTTACTTATTATATAGTACATGTGATTTTATATTAAATGTTATTTTATTTCATTTTAAATATTAAATGATAATATTTTTGAAATTGTATATTATATACATTTCCTATTTTATGTCATATATCAAATATTATATATATTAAATACTTTAAACAATATATATATATATGAGCTATTCAAAAATATTACATATTATTGTAGATATTAAAAAAGAAAATATTCAATATTAAGCACTAAATATATTATTCTATAGTATTATATTATACTATATATTAAATTAAATTAAATTATATTATATACAATGTAAATTTGAACTTCTATTATATTAAATATAAAATAACTAATAATATATTATATTAAATAAAATATTTGATCTCATATCATATTTTAAATATAATATTTTTTCTTTAAAATAGTATTGTATTATTAAATTATATATTATTTTTGAAATTATATATTATATAAAATATTAGACATTAAATATTATATGTTAAAAAATATATGAAATATTATATATTAAATATTACATGTTAAATATTACATATTAAATATTACATACTAAATATTATATATTATATACAATTTAAAATATATAGTATATAATATATCATATACCAAATATTATCTATTCTATATCATATATTACGTGTTTTATATCATATCATATTTTAAGTAATATATATGTATATTATATATTATAAAATGAATATTTAAAAATATATTTTAATAAAATATATTACATTATAAATATCATTAATTAAATATTCTATATTATTTAAAATGTATTATATACATGACATATTTGACTTAAAACAAATATATTATATATTGTTTTATGTATCTCAACGTAAAAAGTTTTAAATGTTTTACTAAATATCACATATTAAATATTGAAAAAAACATTGTAAACCAGGTGTTATACTATAGATCATATATTTGATATTATATATATAATACTATTCTGTTATATATTACATATTATTTTTTATATATTACAAGCCAAAAATTAACTATCATATATTAGATATCATGTATTAAATTCTATATCATAAAAAAATATATGCATATAATATCAAATATAATATATTATAAATAATATATCATATTTAAAATAGTGGAAATCACATATCATAGATCATATACTATATATCATATATTAAATATATTGTAAATTACACAAAAATATATTATATTATATCTATATCACATTATCTATCAAGCATTAATATTATATATATATTCAATATATTATATAACTCTATATAATATAATTATATATCATATAATTATATATCATATAATTATATATCATATATTTAATAAATATTTATATTTAATATATATATTATATTGTATTATATTACATATTATACTTAGGAGTCGCCGGGAACTTAGGCACTTATAACTTCATTATAAGTCTTATTATAAGTGGGTTAAGTGATTAGTAAGTGGATTATAAGTGGCTAACTGGGTTGTAAGTGATGTTGAGTTAGGTGGCACATACTATTGACTTAGGTGACTTATAAGTATATTGTATGCTAAGTGGATAGGACTTAGCTGGAACTTAGGTAGCACTTAGCTTTGGTTTCAAAACGTCTGATTTTGCAACCCTTTGGTGGCTTCAGGCTAGATGAGGGTACATTTTGCAGCCATTTGCGGTTCAAACATGTCTGCTGAAAAGCAGCTGGACGCTGCACAGAAATTCCTACGTGGAATTACCTCCTTGGCTTCCTACGCGGAAGTCAGGGAGAAGCAGGCGCTTGGAGCGCAGCGTTCGCTTGAAAAGGTTGCAGCTTTTACTGTTGCTCAAGCGGCAACATGGCTAGGAGCCTTGCAGGAAGAATTGTGGTCCACTGCCCAAGTGGCAACCTTTCGTGAGATCGTGGCACAGAAGGCAAGGCCTGTAGAGGCAGACAACAGCAAGGCGGCGACGCAAGATTTTACCTTGCTTCCGTTCTATCTTACCGATGAGCTGGGGCAGGACATTGGCAATCCAGCCGTGGATTCAGATCGTTTGTTGTATAGGCTGTGTCAGCATGCTGCGAAGATGTCATTGCGAAATGCATCGGAAGCAACGAAAGCAACCTTGGTGGTCATGTCGAAATGGATCGCCTGCAACCGTGGTCTGACACCAAAGGAGCAGTATGAGTTGTATTGTCGTCACAAGCCGTTGGTGACGAAGTACTTGGTGGGTGTCGCCAGTGGCAAGTATCTCTTAGATTTGCCGTTGGATTCGCAGGATTTGGACGAAGGTATTCGGACGCGTGTGTTTCCTACGGGGAAGCCACAGCAGTGTGCCATGGCACAAGACATTCGTGATTACGTATGCCATATGCCTTTGCGGAAGGACAATCGTCTTTTGGTTGGTGACACCCAAGTGGTGTCAGCCAGCAGGGTTTCTGGCGGAGGCGGGATGGCAGTGGAAGATTTTTGCAAAGTTCTGGAAGCATGCAGTAAAACGTTGCAACCGCATCATGAGAGGATGCAATCGTGCCCGTTAAATTCTTCGAATGCAAATGGAACAAGTGGAGAAAGCCAGGCATCTCTCTTGGCGATTTGCGATCGCCCAAGGGCGGAGGAGGAGGTAGTGACCCTTCCTAAGGAGGAAGAACAGTCACAGCCCAAACCGCTCACCATGACAGTGGAAGATCAGTTAGCGGCATTGCGGCAGGATTTGCCTCCTTCAGCGGGACTCAAGCGGCCCGCAGCGTCTTTGCCAAGTGCAAAGGTGCCGAAGGCGAAGGGAAGGCCACGCAAGGTTTGCCCCGGTCAGGTTCCGAGCAAGCAAGGAGCCGTGAAAAAGGTTTTGAAGAGACCAGCGGCTGCACAGGCAGCTGCCGTTGTTCCAGGCCCAGCAACCTCACGGGGAGCAGGGTCACGAAAGAGTAGCGCTGTGTCGACACGGGACACGCGTGCTCTGGCTCTGTCACGCGCAGAGCGGCGAGAGCGGGTGATGGCGCTTGTGCCACGCGCCAAGCGGCAAGAATACAAGGGTGGCTGTGCCAAATGCAGATTCACCGCGGGATGTACGCCATCTTGCTGGCGTGAGCGTGGCTATCAGGTTTAAGCAATGAGCGAGGATGCGATAGGTCGCCTCTCTTGATGTCTTGAAAGATGACATTCCTTCGTGGCTTCAGATTTTGATATATAGATCTATAGAGGTGGGGCAAAACAAGGGAACCGCAGGGTCGCTCAGCAAGGGTGGAAGCATGCAATGATTCTGACTTTGGGATAGTTTGGGTTTGTAACCGGGGCTGGGTTGTTGGTTCACTGCTTGAGCCTTGCATGGTGATCTGCAGGGTTTTTGGCTCGAGTTTGTGTGGGTCGCGCGTGGGCCGGCCGGAAGGGGAGCCGCTGGACTAGGCAGGACTGGGTTGTGTGGGATATGGTGTGCTGCATTGCAGGCTGCGGATGATGTTGTGACCCTCGCAGGTTCTCATGGCGCCGAAGAAGGATGTGAAGGAAGAGAACGACGACTCGGAGTACACGTACTTGACAGAGGAGGAAGAGGAAGAGCCGGAACCTTTGCCGCCCACGAAGGCACCTGCTCCGGTCTCACCGAACGAAAAGGCCGCGGTGGCAGCTGTGCGCGTCTACGAGGCGCGGGCAGCGAAGGATGCGGCGTCAAGCAGTGATGACCGTGGGCCACGTGCTCGCGGCGCTGCCTCCCCAAGTCCGGCGCGCCGGGCACGGCGCGAGCGGTCACCGGAAGCGGAGCCGCGTAGGTCGCGGGTGCCGGATCGGCGCGACCATCGAGAGACAGCGCCGTTTCCGTCCTTACCACCTCCCGCTCCGGGTTTGCCACCGCCACCTCCTCCGGAGTCGCCACGGCGGAATTGGATGACCAAGTGTCGTAAGCAGCGGTGCCCGCATTGCTGGCAGAAGGTGGGCTCCGGAGGTTCCACTTCGGGCATGTCCCAACATATGTACTGGAATGAGCTGTGTCTGGCGTGGCAATGTTACGGAGATGGGACGCGGTGCTCCTGGGACGAAGCGGTCGGCCGAGCCCATGAGGTGAAGCTGGCCAGAGAGCGAGAGGAATATGCTGAGCTCGGCGAGGCGGTCATGCCAGCTCGCTCGCGCCAGCAGCGCCAAGCCAAGGAGGAAGCAAAGGAAAAGGGACGTTCGGGGCATGAGGGTCTTCCACGTGAAGAGACGGAGAAGCGCCAGGAGCATCAAGGGGGCCATGCGGATGATCCACGCGATCTCCCGGAGAAGGCGGAGAAGGTGCGTCGGCGCCGTGCAGATATCCCACGGGAACGCGACGAGAAGGGGGAGACGGGGCGTCGCCGAAAGCACAAGAAGCATCGTCACCGCCGCCGCTCCCCATCACCTGATGTTCGTGCCGGACCTAAGGGTCCCAAGGAGCCGCCGTCGGACGATGAAGATCGAGACACGGGTCCGGCTAAGCGCCGGACCGCTCCGGACGAAGTATGGATCAAAGTGCCACGTTCTGCCTTGATGGGGCACTGACATGAGTCGCAGCGCAGGACGAGAGCCGAGCAAAAAGACCGGGATGGCATGGGACGTCTCCGATCTGTGCGTTCTGACTGAGCCGGTTAAATAAGGTTTCCGAGCTACGTCGACATGTCTCCGTTACAGTTCCTGCCTGGCAAGCTAGTTTTGCGTCCTGCTGGTTGCATCTTTCCTTCGTGGCCGTTTTCCCTCTCTCAAGTTCAAAGGGACACAGCAACCTTCATATTGTTTCATGCCATTCCTATATCACACTGTATCCCCACATGTTATGACATTCGACTTGTTTGTCTTAAGCCTTGCAGGTTATGACCCAAACGTGTCGACCAGCCAACCAGAAGTCATAGTTTTTTTTGGGGGGGTTTCACCTTCCTGGGTGGTGCGGTTGCGCCGTATAGCGATGGCATCTGGAAAAGACAACACGAGTGCGCATGTCGCGCTCTGTTGTATAGGTTGCACCCGTAGCCTTCTCCATGTGAGGGGGCTCGTGGAGCAACGTGAGCGGAGGAAGGCCAGACGGTGACATACGATGTCACGTTATAGGAGTCGTCGCGCGCACGGCGGCACGTCCGTCCTGTCCATGCCATTTCTTTTGCCACGGCAAAGGAAACGTTGATGCGTGAAGTGCTTGCGCCCTTTAGATAGATCAGTTTCACCTTTCTGTAGTGTAGCAGCTGTCTCTGCAAAATTAGATGTCACTATATTATCTACATGTGCTACGCTGCAAAAAGAATCGATGTTGCCGCGCACTCGCGATGGCCGCAGTTCCGTTCCGTGGGGGTCTGTGGGACTCTCGCATGTCTCTTTTGTGTCGCTGCAATTTAGACGGTGACAAAAAGCCGTCGCTGCAGTATATGGCTTCAGGTAGCAGCCGCTTCGTGCGCGGGAGCGGTCACATGGCAGTCGACATATCTTTTTCGATATCGCCTGACGGTTTGGGGGAACTGTTTGATGTGATGGTCAAGGCCATTCCGCAGCAACCCTTTGGGGACTTTTCTGCTACGTGGAGCAAAGTCCAACATTGTCTTGACTCTGCAGCTGAATGGGCTTGCGCGCACGGACGCGCTGACCAGTGCAGAGTGCTGAAGCGTCTGAGCGCCTTGTTGAAGTATGGGGAATGGGGCGCCACGCCTCTGGATGTGCCACCGCACCCCAAGATTGCAGGTGCGTGCCTGATCTGGGGTGGATTTAGTAAGGTTCTTTGTGCTGATTGATGGTGCTTCTGTGATGAAGTGATTGGCGTTGCTTTTATTTAGTGGGTGGTAATGTGGATTTAAAACTGAAGAATGGTGTTCCGGATGTTTACAAATCGATCAGTTATAATTAAAAAACAAATATGACTGATGCTAAGCGTCACTGTGCAAAGATCCGATGTGTATAGTAGGTGATTCTTGTGTTTTTGTTGTGGCACAGAGCCCCTCCCCGCTCTGCGCGGTGGCGCCCTCCACAAACTTTACAGCGGCGCCTCCCATAAATTTTAACAAAGGAGGCAACACCTCCTTGAAAACAGCTTGTGCGCAGGAGACCTTGCAAGGCCTTCCTTATAATGTCTGTCGAGCTATGATCAATCAATAACTTTGGCGTTACAGGAGGTTTCGATCTTAAGGGCGATGTCCTCCTTGAAAGTTTGTGGGTCGTTCTCGGGGCCACTGTGTTTATGCGAAAGCGAGCAGCACCAAAGGACATTTGTTCAGCTCACATGCCTCGGTCTCGAACCTAAATAGCAGAAGAACTTTGGTGAAGTCGAAACTTCATATGCACCAACAAGTCGTCCAGGCAAGCGAAACAGCCTTCGAAATGCGGCGCCTGGGGCAGCAGGTCATGAGGCATGGCGTTGATGGCGCCCAAAAGAAAAGAAGCAGCGCTATCCAACTCACCAACCTTTCCTGCAAGCAACTCGCGCGATGTCAAAGCTGGACATTTCTCGATCTTCTCTTGCATAGGCTGGATTTGTCCAGACCTGGTGTAAAGGTGAGCGGTCCATGTACAGTCTGTGGGCTCTGTGTCAGGGCGGTCCAGCGTCATCTGAAGGATGGTCAAAAACATGATGGCACAGGCAAGCGCACATGACCTGGTGCGGTCTTCCTTGAAGAAAGGCTGGCAAAAAATCAAAGCCTCACGAGCATTTTCCAGCTCGAACGCGCTCTTCTCCTTGAGTGCTGGATCCCACCGCAAGAAGGCTTGGACCCCCAACTGCAAGTCAGCTCTGTTGAGGACACCTTGGGGCAATCTCTTCTCACCTGCTGCTGCCATGTTGCAAGTTAGACTAGTTTTGTGAGCCAAAAAACCTGGGTCGAATGGGTCGATGTGATGGACAAAGCAAAACCGAGGTTGAATTGCATTGCGGCAATGTTCAGCACTGAATGTGCAAGCAATGTGGTAACCACGGCTAGCGCAGCTGACTCAAATGATTTTCAACAGGTCAAACTGGAAACATGCCGCCTATTCCTCAAAGAATGCCACGTGCTTGGAAAATGCATCGCACTAAGCGTCGCACTACACAAACAGACATGGCGTTGCCAATCATATGTCCTAATACCCTTTGTGGAAAACGTTGAAGTTCTTCAACATCTCCAGGCTTGTAAGCCCCAGGCCACACGCCTTGAAGCAAAAAAAAATCTGTCGGGGTGAGGAACCTCTGGCCTTGATGCCACCAGTAGCAATGCTTTCCTTTGCATCTGGTGGCAGTGAGGCAGGGGCATTTGTCCTCCATCCAAGTTGCTGAAGAACCGCCTGTGTCGACAATGAAGTCAGAGTCTTGTTTGGCCGGATTCTTGTCCAAAAAGTCTTGAAACTGGATCAAGTTCTTGCGGGCTGTGCTGGATAGAGCTGAGCCGTCGACATCGTGTGTCTTCTCCCGCAAGTTGCACTTCCATTCCATGGCAGGATTGCCAAGGAGCTGCTTGAGCGTGAGCCGCTCCTTGAAAGGCACTGGCCACTCAAAGTGCTTCACTTGCACGTCTCGGCGAATACCGATGATATAGACCCGTTCGCGGTGCTGCGGAATTCCGAAGTGCTGTGTGTCCAGCAGCTTGTAATAAACATTGTAGCCTGCAGCACACCATGGCAGAGCTTCTGCGAGCCACTATGCGGTTGAAACAATTAAAAAAGAAGATGCGTTCACAAAACATTCTGAAGCAAGATAAGAGGCATTGCTCACCATTGGGAAGCTGAATGTCTCTCAAAGCTTGGATCAGCCAGTTGAATTCCTTGGGAAAGAGTGACGGGAGGCCCTTTACATTCTCGGAGATAAAGCTGCGAGGCTTGTGCTTTTCAATTTGAAAAGGGATCAGAGCCATGAGACCGCCTCTGGAATCTGCAGCCCCAGACTTACTACCGGCAAGACTCCAACTTTGACATGGGCTGCCGACCGCGTAAAGGTCAACATCAAACCACACACGCCCAAGATGCAATGTGTTCTCCATGTCGTTCTCCAACTGCTGGGGCTTGACAAACTCAGAAATGAATTTCCTTCAGGGAGATTAAAAAATCACTTTGAAAAAAAAAGAACCCCATCATCATTGTAAATTAATTACTTGTGCTCCTGAAGTTGGAATCAATTTCAGAAGTGTAGATGTGCTTCACATTGACAGATGAAGGCAAGTTCACTCGCACCGCTGGCCCTTCAGTGCAAAGACCAGAGCAGTCAGAAGCCAGCGTGACTTCGGCCGGGGTGTTTGGAGGCTGCGCAGCTATGAGTTTCACTTTGCCAGGCTCTGCTGGGAGCAGCGTGGTCTTGGCAGTCTTGCTTGCGCCTCCCTGGTCTGAAGCTGGCCGCTTGGTTGCTTTTCTACTCTCGGTTTCTGTCGCTGCTGGTAGGGGGGTCTTTGCGCGCCCACTGGCCGTGGCTCTCGGCTTGGACAACCGCGGCGCCATGATGGAATAAACCTACCAAAAAAAATCTTGCTGAAACGACAGCGGCCATGTGTGCGATGTGGCTGGTCTCTCTGATTGACAGCGCCATGCGCAGTGACTCAAACGGAAAAGGTGTTGCTGCAAAGACCTTTTCCTTCCAATTTTTGAGCTGAGAGTGCAAAACCACAGCTACTCTGTCAGTCAGCCTTGTCCAAATGAATCTTCGACCTCTTGTCAGGTCGGGCCAAACGCCTCAAAGACCATTTTGCGCCGATCGTGATCCTCATCCCAAAAAATATCACTGGCCTTGCTGCTGGAGGTTCGCCAACTGAGCCCTGAACTCATTCAGCACAGACGCTGCTGTGCCACTGTCATTGCCACTGGTATTGGGTGGGTTGCCAGTCGTTCCGCTAGAGGCTGGATGGCTGACGCCTTGCTGCTCTGCCGTCCTTGCACCGCTTGGCTGAGACGACCGGCCAGCGCGATCTCCTCCCAAACCTGACTGACGCGCTGAAAATACATTTGAATGAAAGGCGCTACACCAAAAACAAACAAAAGGCCAAGCAACTTGCAGCCAACTTGGGTTCGAACACGCTTTCGGAAGAAGAGAGCATGCGCAGCATGATCTCAGTGACAATGCGGTCTTGGACCTGGGTCAAATGATCTTCAGTGAGGCAGAGACCGCAGTAAGGCATGCGACTCAAAGCGCACGCCAGGGCCATGTTCCCATCGCCAGCTCCAGCGTCCACCACGGCAGCCAGGTTGTAACTGGCCAAAAGCTCAAGGCAAAGGCTCAAAGGACGGCTATGCCAAAACACGGGCTCTTCAGTGTTGAGCTTGCGGTTGCTGACTCCACGATGGCTCTCTGCTTCCCCGGTGGTGCGACCACCAACGGACACCCGGTACTTGCCAAACAAAGTGATTTTGTCCTGCCCACAAATGCAGTGGCAAGGGAAAAAGGCCCAAAAAAAAGCCTGCACCCCCCTTCTAAAAAATCTTCAATCCATGCCTTCAAAGCCATAGACCAAAGCAATTTGGGGCTCTCCAACAACACGTCTCCGATCTTGTTCCCGAAGTTGGTCCCCTTGTAGATCTTGCGGTTTGTTTTGGTCATGGCGTCTCCAAAATTCTCAGCAGTCACCAGCGTCATTAGCTCAACTTGCTGAAAAGTCGTTGAGTTTGCTTTGATGTACTGCCGGCGTTGCTTGAGACTTTCCTCATCATAGGAGATGAAGACACCGAAGGAGTTTTTGTTCAAGGCATCTCCGGCTGGAGTCTGGAAAGAACCTAGCACTTTGTTCAAATTGCCAGGCAAGAACGAATCAAAGTAGATAAAGAGGTCGCGATGGTGCAAGGTCAGCTGCTGCTTGTCCCTGGACTTGACCACTGACGCCAAGAAGGTCTTCAAGTACTGCTGGTTCAACGGGCAAACACGAATGTGTGGGTTCGTCACAGCTTCACCCCACTGAGCAGGATCCAGAAAGATTCCCACCCACTGATTACCACCACCTCTGACTTGGCAAGCAGCTGCTTTGTCAAAGTACGCGCACAACTCATTCTCTGACGGTTGGAAGACAAAGAGCTGGACGTTGGAAGCCATGAGGTTGCGAGCTTTGTCCTCGAAGTACTGAAGCTGCGCCAGAGTCTCTTCATTCTTGATCTCCCCGATTTTGGCCTGCACATCCCCCAGGAATGCCTTGAAAGCAGCACTTCTGACTGGCAAACCCTCCTGGGCCTCCGGGTCTTGAGTTGCGCCTTGCTGGGCTTCAGCTCGGGCTGCTGCAGATGCTTCTGCCCTGGCCTCATCCAGCTCTTGCCGCAGGAGCTGCTGGAATTCTCTATAGCGCTCACCCAATTTGGTATCCATGGTCAAGGCATCCAGGGGAGCTTTACCTGCCACCACAGCTGCTTTGAGATTGTCGTCAAAGACCGTGCCAAAGACTGACTCCTGGGTGCTGTTGATAAATCGACAACCATGCGGTAATAAAAACTGAAAAAATACTATGTTAAACAAAATGGATGGCCCCACGGTCCTGAATCAGTTGCATTACGTGATCAGCAGAGCGTGACCACCCAGCTTTCCATGAGAGGTCCGCCGGGCTGTCCGGGAAACCGACCTTTCTTCGGAAGGCTTCGTGGGAAGCAAAGATGTCTTTGAGAGCTTGGCGGTATTTCTCAGGCATCTCTTTGGCTTCAGTTGAAAGCAAGAAGTCGCTGATGAAGTAGTCTCTGAGCCTCATCTTGTATAAGACCAGATCGCACAGACCTTTGCCACCTGTAGCACCCTGGCCCGTCAACTGCCGCACAGACACTTCTCCTTCAAGAAGGCCAGCCAGTTTGGAATCGTGCATGTGCGTGAAAAGCCAAGCAACTTCTTCAAAGCGGGTAGACTTGGAGACCATGGCGTGCAACTTGCTGACAGAATCCCAAAGGCTCTTGCCACAAGCTTCTTCCGCCAGGATCACCTGCAGAATTGCGTCATGCCGCAAAGCACGGTCCATGACCATGGAAGCATGGCCCAGAAATCCTGCTCATATGGGTGATGGGTGGCCAAAAAAAAAATCCTTCCTTTCAGTACACAAAAAGATAAACAGTAACAGGGGTCCTTTGGTAATCTTCTCCGACTTGGCGCTGAACTTGAGCTTCTCGTCATACAACTGCAGAAGCGCCTCTGGCGTGTAAGCCACGCCCATCGCCTCTCTCTTCTGCATGACGTCAAACACCCTCTGTGTGGGTGTGCGGGCGAGGAAGGACAGTTGGGTCTGATCCTCCCTCAGCTGCTGGGCCACCCACTCCATCTCTTGCGAGTCAGCTACAACCCTGATCAACACTGGGCAGGATAAACAATGACCTAGCCATTCCTGCAACTGATCACCCGCTGCACCTGCTTCCACTTTCTGCGCTTCGGCGGCAGCTGCTTCGAAGAAGGCAATGATGGACTCTTCAGCACTGAGACGCTTCCAAGTGCCAAAGGCTGGCACAGTCTTTGAGTCCACCTCTCGCCGCAAGAAGCCCACAGTGACTTGCTGCTGGTCCAAACCATTCGGTGTAGAAAACCAATGGGACTTCACTTGGTCAATGGCGCCTTGACTGATTGGTATCTGCGGCGTGGCAGACCAGCTCTGGTCAAGCCACAAAGCATTCATGATGCAAAGGTACTTGCCTTCACGCTTGAGGCTTTCCAGAGCAGCCTTTTCATCAAAGGGCTGGCCAAAGCTGTGCGTGTTGGGGCGGAGCTGCACAGCATCTTCACTCACTGCCTGCTCTTTGAAACGTCGGACATTCTCTGCATGTTTTGCCCAAACTCCACCATTCAGGCAAAGCGCCTGTGAAGACACCCCCGGGCTGCCAGAAGCCAAGTTGGCCATGAGTGCCGGGTCTTGGCTGCCATTAGCTTTCGGAGTCTTGGCGGCAGCCTTGGCAGCCTTGGCAGCCTTGGCCTTGGGCTCAGCAGTTTCAGGTAACAGCTCCGCGCCTCTCTTCGCTGCTGACTTCTTGGGAGCCATGGCTACTACGCACCCACTCTGCAGAAACTCAGCCGTGGGAAGTAATAACTAAGTTGGAGGCACACTCACAGCTGGGCCAGGACTGCAAGGATCTTAAAATGTCTCCTGCTGAAATCAAGACGGTTGTACCATGCCATGCGTGTGACCCGTACTAAATTCGGGCCAAATGCAGTATTCAACGCGTATTTGACTGCCATGCTCGTGACCCGTACTAAATTCGGGCCAGCTGCAAGAGTCAACGCGTATTTGGCTGCCATGCTCATGAGCCGTACTAAATTCGGGTCCTCTGGGGAGTTCAAAGACCAGGACTGCCATGTTAGCACATGGTCAACCGTGTAAGAACACGGCGGCCAAACGCGTATTTGCCTGCCGTGCTACCACATGGCAGACCGTGCGCTAACATGGGGCAGCCTCCTTGATAAAGAAAGGAGGCTGCCATGTTAGCACATGGGAAACCGTGTACAAACACGGCGGCCAAACGCGTATTTGCCTGCCATGCTGTACATGGTGAACACGTGCAACACATGGCGGTCGAACTGCTTCCTGGAAATAGTAGGGAGAGGCCTTAGTAGCGATCTTTTTGAACTCAACTTGCTGCCCGCGGAAGGCAAAAATAGACAACAGGAGACTGCAGAAGCCTCCTTGCAACATGAAACGTTCGGCCTGTACAGGACCAGGAGACCTCTTGCACCTCCTTGTACCTTGTTACTGAGTGCATTCAGAAGTACGATGCCTCCGTCCTTGCAGGAGTCTACTTGAGCCTCCTTGATTGCTATTGCAGCGCATGCCAATTGACAGCCGTAGTTGCTGCAGGACAGGATCCTTCCGCACTCAAAGTTGCCCAAAAACAATTTCATTTTCTCTTCCGTCGTCGCGCACAGGAGACTTCGCTTGAACCTCCTTCGTGGACGAGTTTGCTTGAGTTAGGCGGGTGGCACTGACACACAGGAGATAGGTATCTTCATTTTTGACCGTCTCTCCTTGAATCGAATGAGCTCTATATGAGCTCTATAGCGGACCTGCTTTTATTGAAGCTTTGGTGTGCGAACACACTGCAGGAATAAGGAGCTTCGCTAAGCTTCCTTGGCCATGCAGGAGACTGTGACTATGGCCTCCTTAGTATACTGTATCCCTGGCATGACAATGAAGTCCAAGCCCTCAGCTCCCACCCCGTCTGCACGCAAATTTTTAAACTCCTGCAGTTTGTGCGACAGAAACTGCATTAATTTACCCAGGCCCAGGCCCAACGACCGCCTGAACTTGAGTCTCCCCAGTCTTGCCAATGGCCTTTGTACAATGGAGCCTTTGGCTCCCAGCCGCCCTCATCATCGTCCTCGGGATCTTCCGGATCCCATTTGTTCTTGTTGTCGGCCCACCATACCGGCCTCCTTTTGCCACGGTTGGTCTTCTGGCGTTTGCGAGAAGGGTTCTTCCACGACTTGTATAAGTCCTGGCACGGGCAAAGAATTGCACACATCACAATTTATTGTTCTTTAACCCACAAAAACCCCCCCCCCAAACAAGGCAAATATTGCGCCGAGACACGCACTCCATATTCAAACATATACTCTTTCCTTGATAGGCTTGCGCACCACAGACGCGGCAAGCCCTCAAATCCAGTCTCACTGCAGGTCTGGATTCCCCCGGCTCTCTTTCCACGTCCACGACATCGGTGGCTGGAGTGGGTACCGCGGCAGCACTGCCAGGTCCAGGTGGCGGCGCTGAAACCAAGGGAGGCGGCGCAGGTGGTTCGGCACTGGCTGCCGCAGGAGGCAATCGGCTCCTTGATCGTCTCCAAGGCGGCTCCTCAGACTCCTCAGTTGGTCCAGGTGGGTTAGTGGCGGCGGGCAGTGGTCCAGGTGCTGAACTTGACGCTCCGTGCGTTGGTGCGGAATGTCCAGGTGCTCCTACAGAAGGAGCAGCAGCTTCAGAAGCACTCGGCCCACTCAGCATTCCAGGCGGCGCGGTTACCGAGCCTTGGAGAATCTGCCAAATTTGGTGAGCAAGCTGCCCAGCCAGATTATTGGCTGCTGCTCCCGCAGGCACACCACTGCCAGTGCCGCTGCCAGGCTCAGAAGGCCTTGGCGGGGTTTCTGGCGCTGCCAACGCCACGGCCAGCCACAACAGCCAGCAGAGTCGCACCATGTCACTGCGACAGTCGGGAACACAGTTTGAGCGCTAAAAACGGCTGCGGAGAAACATGCATACATGGACCGTGCCGGTCAGAGTACAAGGTGGTGCACGTCAGTTGGCAACTGCCAAGTTTGCAACCTGATGTGGACTGTGGCGTCCCGTGCGCTGCTCCATTTTTCCGCCAAGGGAAGAAATCTTTAGACCGTGCAAGCACTAATAGGATGCAGCAATACCAGATCTACTTCGAGACTTGTCCTCGGAGCAGAAGACCCAGTGCTCGACAGCTTCACTCAAGCCGGTGAACTGCAGCCGCACTTGGGGAAAATCTTCATCAATTTGGTCATTGCGAAGGACAATGAGTTGGCGAGCCCTGGACACAGTCAGCTTCGCGATGGCGTCATCCAAGCCTTGTCGGTTCAGCAACTGGAAGTTGCACTCCTGAAGTTGCAGCACTTCAGCCAAGTCTGTGCACAATGCTCTGTTGCCATTGACAAAGGCAGGCGTCATGAAGAAGCTCCTCTTGACTTTGCTCGCGGGTTTGAAAGCTAACGCCACCCCAAAGTGACCCTTGGTCTCCACAAACTTGGGACACGCAAGGATTCCACCCACGAGACCTGCAAAAAAACGTAGGGTAGGGGACACATTGGTGGGGTCTTGGCAAACAAAGATCCTCCCAGCATGCAAATCGCGGACAATAGTGGCATCTGCCGGAACATGCACGTCTGTGCAGAAGCCAACGTAGATTGGAGCTTGGTCGCACCATGCAGCCTGCGCCGTTGTCCAGATTAGTTGAAAATAATTTTCGGAATAATGAAAGCAAACAAAACTTAAAATTGACGAGTAACCTCTTTGTTGCTGACTCTGCTCTGGACCAATTTTTGATCATTGTTTCTTTGTCGTTGTGTCTTTGCGAGCTTCTCTGCGGTGGTCGCCACCAAAGCTCGGACAGCGTCAGTGATCTCCGATGAATGGATGACACCCAGCAAAGCTTCTTCAATTTGGGCCTTACTTTTTTTGTCAGCGTTAAACCGGAGTTCTGCCATCTGCTTCTCCCCAAACACTTCGGCTAATTGTCATCCGCAGAAGACACTGTTTTGGGCAGGCTTGCGGCGGCAGAGCTGCTGGATGCCAGCTGGTCATTGACAATCGCGCAGCCCTGCAGAAAACCAGCTTCACCATCTTTCAATTTTTTCCTGAACAAAGCAGAGAATGTTAATTGCAAGCTTGCAACTGGAAAATAATTACACAGCAGGAAAACACAGTCCTTGGGATGCACTTGTCCCACCGCTGAACTCTCTTCAGTGAACCACTTGCCCGGACTCGGCTGCAATGAGCAACCCAAACTTTCTTGGCAGCGCAGATCAGCTCCTTTTCTTCTCCTGCTCCAAATTCGGGGGACGAGACAACTTGTTGCAAAATCAACATGACTTCTTCCAAGGTAGCGTTCTCGTCTTGGGATTGACCCAATTGCTTGCTACCTTGCGCAGCTGAAAACCCACGCTCCACACCAGAGGAACTGCAGCTCCAGCAGGCCAATCGAGCAAGGGCTGGGATGAGCGCATCTGCGGAATGAACCATGCGATTCTTCTCTGTGCATTGAATTGCTTTCTTCCATGCGTGAAAATTTTCCAAGCCCTCTATTCTGGCATATTTGCTGGCAATGGGTAGGAAATGTTCGAACTCATATTTCAAAGATTCCTCCTCCACACCAATGGCCCGGGCCAACTTTTCAAGACAATTGGCTCGCTCACCACTTTCCAGCTGTTTCTTGAGCCTCGATTCATCCGAGAGGGAGAAAACACGCAGAGAGGACACCAGTTGAAAATGTGGGAATTCTCCTTCCAGCACAGATTCAGCCACAGCAACGTAAGCAGACATGCGCTTCAAACACTGACGCTTCAGCTCTTCTGTGACGGCATCTGCTCCTCCCAATTTGGCTCGAAATCCTTGGGATATCAGCAGCCGCTGCTCCGACAGGTGCTGCAACATGATCTTTGTCAGACCAACATGAAGGCAAGCTCCTTCAACAAAGAGCTTCCGGATCACACCTCGATACCGATCAAGCTCATATGGAAGTTCGGACTCATCACAGACATCTGTGTCGAATGCCCTCACCACTCTATGCAACTCAAGGGCCGCGTCCGCAAGCATGCTCAAAAGCAAAGCTTTTTCTGGCGTCAAAAACTGCAAGGTAGCAAGGCATGCTGCGCCTTCAGCCGAAGTTCGGCCTCTCATGTCTGGAACTGCGGTGAGCACACCAAGGACTGCATCCCAAGTCAAGACCAGTCGAGCAAGTACTTTGGACTCAGAGCTGTATCTTTGCCGTGCAAAAGCTAAGTCACGAATGCTCTTGGCAATGGGAACCTTTTCGTGACTTTTTTGCCGGAAGTCAGAGTACAAATCTTTGAAGACATGGCTATTGTTGATGAGTCGGGCAACAGAGTGCGGCTTCTCCACAAACTCTTCAATCACCTCCTTCAACTGCGGATCAGCTGCCCATGGGCGGCTCAACATTCTTTGCGCTGCGTGAGCGCGGTCTTTGCCAAGAACCTGAGGGAATCCAGGGAAAACCAAAATAATTAATATCCACACCACAAAGAAAAGCAATTGCGCCCCGCGCCTTCAAGTTCTGAAAAGATTGACCCATCACGTCCTGGAGCTCCACGATGTCCGGGCCACTGATGCCCGCAAGGTCACGCATGGCCAGCTGTTCATCGCCAGCTGCGTCGGCAGCAATGCATTCCACTTTGCCCATCAAGGCCTGCAGCAAGTCATTGTCACACGGTTTCTCCTCCTTGGCTCCTGGTAAGAGTCCACCATAAGTTGGCGGAAGTGACGGCGTACAAAAATTTTGCAGGGCCTTCAAAGTCATCTGCCTGATACCTTGAGCGCCGGGAGCATTGGGTGAGGCCACTACTTTGACCAACTGGAGTGTTCCATAACACACTGCTAACTTAGCGTCCACTGCACGAAAGCGGACCAAGAACCTGCGTCCACGTTGATCTTGGGCAAGGGAAACGCAGAGAGCTGTTTGGATTGCCTCTCTCTGCTTTTGCCGATGAGCTTCAGCCAAGCACCAACGCATCATGTGAGCCTTTTTGCGGTTTCCAGCATCGTCCACATCGGCTTGACAGTGACCCGGCTTGCTGTGAGAGATGACTGACTTCCATTCAGACATGGTTGGCGAGAAACCACCAATTTCCTCAAGCGCTGGCGCTTTGCCACCGGCCATACTTTCAGCAGTGCGGTGAGCAGGCGAAGCAGCATGTTTGCGGAAACGAGCCACACGAATGTCACCACTGTTCACTTCATACCTTGCAAAGTGATGCCTCGAAACCGGAAACTTGGACATGGCTTCAGGACTCACTT